GAAACTTAAAAAAAACAGTAGTGCTCCATTATTAGGGCATATGTGGCTTGACGTTTATATTGATTATATGCAGATTCTTTTTGCCTTTTCCATACATACAGATTGTCTTTAAGCCCATTCACACTACCATGTTAAATCATGGTTCTACTCTATTACAATAAATATAGTACTTTGTAGTTGAATAACACTTCTCCCCGGAGATAATGGATGTACGTCTTCTCTCACACTTCAGCTGTCTTTGACAGACGTCAAGACGTTTAAATCAATATATACAGTTTAACTGCAGTGATTGTAGTCTGTGCACATACAGCACACGTATTAGTGTATACAGAAGTAAAATGTGTACTCTGGAAAGTACACACTGTTTCTCTTGCCTTTTTGGTTAGAATATCTGAACCCTGGTGAGTCCAGATGCTGTTTATTTTTTGGATCACAGTCACACTGTGGACATGCATTCATTCTGCATTGCTTCACCCACATCTTCACGGTGTTGATTCTTGGAGTCACGCCTCAGCTGTCTTCAAACCTTTGACTGAGATAGTAGCAGGGTTTAGAAGTCAAAAAACAGCAGAAGATGAGTCGCTCTGTATATCTTACTACACAGAAAACTTTTTTTTTATGTCTTAGCACTACTTGATAACAAAATGTTGCCTGTAGGAATAGCCTCCATCTGCCTCCACACTGCACAAATGGGTTTACAGTGCAGCATTTCCCTCCAGCTCTTTAGATTTGATGATTGGAGATTATAGACATTTGCATCAGTGCATTGACTCCCTTTCTCTCTCGTTCACTCTCACTAACTCTCGCTCTCTCTTTTATATGACGTCTCTCTGTGGCCAGGTGGGCAGCAGGGTAGACTTCCAGTGCCAACAGGGACACCTGCTGCAGGGCTCCACCACCCGCCTGTGTTTGCCTGATCTCACCTGGACCGGAACGCAGCCAACCTGCATCCGTGAGTGCATCCACCTCGTTCTCTCTCCCTCTCAGTCCTTATAACCGGCTGTCCCTGTCTTACACTAACCCTCCTGGCGTCCTGTCAGCGTTTATCTGCAAGCCTCTGTCTCTTTTTACTCACCCTCCACCTCCTTCTCCCATCACTCCTTCCTGTACCAACTTCGCTCAATCCTGCCGTAGCCTTTGACCTCCCAGTTGATTGCAGCCTCACCTCAATCAATCTGCCACACCGGTCATTCTGAAAGTGAGGTGCTGACTGTGATTACTGTCATTCTGTTTGAATGACCTGAGCTGTCGACCAACTCTAAACTAGGTTTGTGCAGCTTCAGCCATGTTGATTTGCAGAGCCGGGTTCTTCCTCTTCTTTATTTATTTATTTTCTTCTTAGATGTGATAATCCCGTGTCTCCCTGGAAATCCTTTTGAGCTGCTGCAGTTTTAATGAAAAATGTTCCCGACTGAGATTTTTTCCAATGGTGTGAATTTAATTTGACGAGGAAAAAGTAAACATTAGCACGTGCAGGGATTCAAACTATATGAATTATTACATTCATGATGGATTTAAGATTTAACCTGAATGTGAATTTTCTGGACATGTTTGTGTAGCTGTGCATGGCTGAGTAAATCCATAAACAGTTGTAAGGTCCAGTACTCCTGTTGGCAGGGAGGGACAACTTTCTGCACGGACGTCCATTCAACGTTTAGCTAAATTTTTCTGCGAAATGAGTAAACGTGTAGAAAGTAGTATCACATTCACATATTCAGTTTTCCTTCTAACAGGTTTTTCTCTCAAGATCAAAGCAGCAGCTGCGGTCACCACTGCAGTGGTGAACACACAATAACTTGTGTTAGCATGATGTTGACCCTCAGTCTGAGCACCTGTTTCATTCAGAGGGTTGATGCCTCCAGGCTTTAACTCTCCTGACTTGTCGGGTTCACTGGGTTCCTTTTTATTATAATTATTTGTCTCTGTGTGTGTGTGTGTGTGTGTGCTCAGGTTGCAGAGTTTCATGTGCTGCTTTTTTGCTCTGCTTTTGATCTGCAGGGACCGAGAACTCTATTGATTTTCTCTCTCTTTTTTTTCTTCGGCCTCTCATTACAGCTGAGCTGGAATTAAAGCCGAGAATATTAGGTCTGATGATGAGCAGATTTTAACCACATACAATAAGTAATGCTAACACTAATGCTGCTACTGCTGCTACAACTACTACTTCTACATATATGGCAACAACAACCACTATTTTTACTACTACTATTACAAATAATATATATTGTGTATACTATAAAAAAAAAACCTCCATTCTCATTCATCTCCAAATCCGTTCCAACATTTCAGGGACGCTAATCTGAACCTCACCAGTCCAGAACTGCCACATACAGAGACCAATAACCATTTACCCCCGCACTCATTCCTTCAATGTATTACTTGTTAAATTATAGTGAAAAAATAACCTCACGTTGAAGGTTTCTGGACTGAGAAACTCAAGGTCTTGGAAAAACACCTGCGCAAACACCAAGGAAACATGCAAATTCCACTCTTCAAGGAAGACCATTAGTTACCACTGGGATTCATGTTTTTCTTGCTGTAAGGCAAGAGCCCTAAACACTCTACCACTGTTTCCCCTGATAGAATTTTAATAGAACTTTTATTATATTATATTATATTATATTATATTATATTATATTATATTATATTATATTTTTTTTATTTAATTATTTAATATCATGAAGATTGCTATGGTTGTGTAAAACAGTATTTATAACGCACAAACACTATTTTACATTAGTATTGTTTAAATGTAAAATAAATTGTTCATTTTTTTTAGTATTTCAGTCATCATTCATTGACTAGTACACAGTTCTCGAACATTCTTCAACATGGGCCTCTAAATCCAGCAAGTATTAAGACTGAAGGGTCTTCTTCACCCTCCGGTCCATAAATCCACTAAAATACCTCTCTCTATGATGAAATGGTCTTCTGCTACTGTGAAGCCGCTTGAATGGCTTTCAAAAAGAAGCCCACCAATCTCACACTGCTGACACCGGCAAAAGCGTGGAGGGATTATCTTGGCCATAAATGTAATAGATGCAGTTTGCCCAAGTCAGAGTTTAATATCACTGGATAGTAATCACATTATCTTTCTATTAGGTTAGGTTTCTTTCCAAGGAAGTGCCTTCAGCTCACTTTAAATTCTAACAAAGAATAGTTTTGAGGTGACAGACAACAACATGTTAATATGTCAGCCAGGTTGTAGCATTTAAAAACCCATTCAGTTAACAGAGGCACAGGAGACAAACTAAACCTGGATGAGTCCAGATCTACATACTGAACTGCATACAGTATGTAATGTTTAATGGCAAGGTGATTTAAGGCCATGTTTTTTGCCTGTTGACTCTAAAACATCTCGACTTGATAAGACGCTCTTTGTCTTTCTGCCAATATACAAACAATGACCAACAACTGTAACAGAGCTTCATAAGACCTGCTCTAAAAACCAGGAACAGTCAAACCTTTGGACAATAACATAAAAAAAAACACACTTGCTGTTGAGTCATCAGATTACTGGAGTTCTGTTATTAGCAATGACTCAGTCTTTAGCTCATACTCACCCAGGATGTAGAACATGTTTTGCTGCACATACAGGTGACTAATTACATATCAATAGTGGACAATAAAGGGGAGAGGAGAATCAGCTTCATCGGTCATTCCACACACACACTGTGAAATCTGTCATCTGTTTTCAACCCATGCTTGGCTCTCAGCAGCCTGTAATTTTTTTTCCCCCTTAACACTTCACAGCCAGGGCGGTATATGACCCTGTAACCTTTTGATAACCAGCACAATCTTCTTACTGCTAGGTAAACGACTACACCGTTAGTTGGTCCTTAGAGCAGCTCAACAACTGTCATTATTTGAAATGATACTTTATTATAGTGCAACTACACTTCACATTGTGTTTGTGCTGCAGGTGAGCGTGGACTCGGCACAGGCTGTAGTTCAGCCCTGGTCCTTGGTGTTCTGGATGAACTAACCTGTGTTCACAGCTGTGACAGAGAACCACAGTTCCGTAGCTAAGGTCTGATCATGACAACATAGAGCTTATAGTCCACCTGCATGGTTTATGGTTCCCAACTTTCTCCTGACGTTGAGGCACTATCCAAATTACATTAAACATCAGGTTTTGTATTTCAAAATAAAAGTCACCTTCACGTTGTAAATGACAGCAGTGATTCCACCTTAACAACTATTATACACCAAGTTGACAGGCTCACTAATGTAAAAAAATGTTCAGACTTAGTTTGAACTCAATGTTTTTGCCAGGCTACATTTGTTACCTCAGTGACACTGGTATGGATGAGCTGACACTGGTTCAAAGTTTGGATCTGGAAGAAAAGGTGAGCCTGCTCAGCATGAATCTCACTGGTCTCCACTGACGAAAGGAATTTTGACAATATTGCAGTCTGGAGCAGTCCAACTGTAATGATTCAAACAGAGGAGCTTTATGTTCTCTTTCCTCCCCTCACTAATGCAATCTGTCTGTCAGAGATTCCAACATGGAGGGCCTTTCACAGAAATGTGAAAATGTCTTTTGTGGACTCCTGTAATCTCAAAAGTGAAGCCGGCGGTGTTGGTTTGAAGTGTACTGTAAGTAAACACAGCACTGTCAGCAGAGCCTGATGAAGGGTGTGACACACAACAACTCATGGCCTTGTACAGTGTCTTCTATATTCATGGTCCAAAAAAGCCTCCACGACCTGGACATGTGCTGGCAGTTTGTCATTTAAATGAGGTCCACAGACTCGTGCTCAGGCGGAGAGAAGAGAGTTTATTCAGTTATTTATTTATTTCCCAGGCCTTCAGACTAACAGCCTCACAATACGGGGTAGTTTTTCTTCTTTCCCTCTCACAGTGTAAATAGATTCTATGTTCACTGGATTTATGGACTCGCACAAAACAGAGGAGTACATCATTTACCACAGACCTCGTCCTTCAGCTTTCTCCATCATGTTGTTTCCAATGTACCATACAGCTAATTGTTAAAGTCCACGAGCGGCCGAGGATCCTCACCGAATTCTTTCAAGTCAATGAACCAAACCTGCTCTTGGTCCACGTACAGTTCTTTATTGGGCAAATTTATGTCATTAGTCATGAATGCACACATACATGTGGTGACATCTAATATCCAGTGATATCCACCAGGGGGGATTTCCTGCAGTCAGCTCATCTCTCATTAAGGCAAGAAACTGGGTTTCACTCCGGCCTCTCCTCCACATCCTACTGCCAATAATATCATTAGGATGCCTTGACGGACGGAGTTGGCTGTGTGACTCACTCGCTGCTGTCTCCCATTTGACAGCTGGCAGTGTATTCTTTCACTCACAGGCTGTAAACTTACTTCACACATTTCCCTGATGCCTCTGAGACTCGGTGTTCAGCTCCTCACGGTTTTGGTGCTGCCAGGTGACGTGCCGAGAGAGATTTTTTTTATTTGGAAAAAGAACAGTAAAACCGCTCATAAAGAATCATAAAGAATTATTGTGATTTGACAGTAGAAAAGCGGTTGGTGCTGAAAAGCAAGAAAATCGCTGGTTTGATCCCCAGTCTTTTTATATGGAATTTGTATGTGTGCGTGGGTACTGTAGTTTTTTTTGGGGGGGGGGGTTCAGTCCAAAAAATGCATCTTTGGGATTAGTTCTTTGTTCTCTCTAAATTCACCACAGATATGAATGTCAGTATGACTGGTCGTTTGTCTCTAAAAAGGCCAAACTGTCCAGGTAAACCCCGCCCCCAACTGATTTGCTTGAGCTCCGCCCACAACCCTTAAATGGATTGGAGTGATTGAGTCTCATTTGGAAATCGGCTGTTTATTGCCTGTCATTTTGTTACCAAAAATATCTTAAATTATATTAATATTTAATTAATATTTGGGTATAAAAATAACAAGTGAAACTGTATGTATTTATTGTTGTTTTTGTTATTTCTTAAATCAGCAGCATATTAGACAGAAAACAGCAAAATAAAGAGACACGTCAAATAGCACTAGTTTACTATTATTTTTATTTATTTTTGTAACTTTTACCCCGTTTTCAGCTATATTAAGTTTACCTATTAATTGTCTAAGTTATACTTAAGTTATTTAATGTTTTATTTTCCGTCAGTCCATGAAAGTTTAGCTTAGTTGGTCCATGAACTCATCCGTGAAATATATTAAAACTTACTACGATTAATAAAATTCCAATTCCGAGTTTTTCATTTTCTAAATCCTACAAGTCTGTAACCTTTCGATCTGCCATTCCAGGTGACAGGAATGTCCCACTTTGTAGGGGTCTATCTTATTTTTTTGGTCTTGCTTCAAATCGGCCCACATTCCCAGTCAGTTCAGACACTTTCTGTGACGTCACCTGTATTCAGTGGCTGTGGTGAAAGTAGGACAGCCTCTCATCTCAGGGCTGTGACTGATGTTTGTCAAAGTACATGTGTCAATCACAGCTCCACCTAACATCGTATCAACCCGCCGCCCCACAGTGAATGTCTGTGATGGAGGCTGCCACTGAGAAGAGAGAGTGCAGCTCTGGAGCCGTAGGAACCGACCTTCCCTTGGACTAGTCAAAGTCTGTGGAGGCCAGAGCAGAAAAAGGGTTCTAAGTTGAGAGACTTTTCTTTCAGTCAGTCACAGAGGGAACGTTCAAACACTGCCAAAAAGTAAACAAGTTAAAAAGATGAAGAAATATCTTGCAATTTTTGCAACTACTTAGAGATCTCATGACCAAAGACTTAAGATTAGTGGTGATGCAGCGGAGACTCCTGATTCTTCAGTACAGTGTAGTTACTCTGTTAATGCATATCAACCACGTAAGCTGCTCTTCTTATTTTAGTTTGACATGTTTATTAAATATATATTTTCTTTATATATTGTTATCAAGCACTATTCAATTATAAACTAGGACCAAAACAAATGAAGGTGTTGATAAATGTTTTTCTTAAACCAACACACTCATTACTAAACCCATCATCACAGAGCTTGGAGTTTGCTGCAAATAATTCTCAGTCCATGCTGGAGTAAACTGGTGGTTTTTATTAGAATTGAATGTTGCTAATAATAAAGTGCTAACATCTCTTCACAGAAGTGATATGTTGTAGAAGTGTTGCGTGTTGCTAAGCCGTGGAGAGTGTCGTATTCAGGGTGAGTTCTATTTTTGATGTCTTCAGTTTCTCTCTACTTCACTGGACTTCGTGTGGCCCAAATGCTGCTATTTAAATAAGCCAGATACTGTATGGTCCATTATGGTTTTACAGTAAACTTGGTCTTATAATGTTTGGATTTATTCAGAAAACCCAAACGAAAAGAGCCAGGTTTATTTGTTTTTAAATTGATATATTGTGTGATATAATGTTGCTCTGGTTATGTTTCTCCTTTCATTAAAAAACTCTTCCATTGAATTTAAATTAGTGTAGGTGTCTGTAATTACGTATTCAAAAGGAAACTAGACAGACCATAATATTATCACTAAGGTGTCCTCCAGCCGCCCGGAGTCAATTTAACCTAAAACATTTGTAATTTTCTTCACTTTTTTTCCCGACTGACCCTTCCTCACCTTTTCATCCCACACTGAGAGCTTAATTATCTACCTGTCTATCCGTTGCCGTGTGTATGTGCGTGTGCAGGTGTAGATGTGAGTGTTTATGCTAACATGTCTGCCCTGTCTTTGCTCTCCAGCTCACTCCTGCAAGCAGCCGCGGAGCCCAGCCAACGCTGACGTCCTGGGTCTAGACCTGCCCTCCTACGGCTACACTCTGGTGTACACCTGTCAGCCAGGTTATTTCCTCTCCGGGGGCTCGGAGCACCGTGTCTGCCGCTCCGACGGCAGCTGGACTGGCAAGGTGCCTGTCTGCAGAGGTAGGAAGATGCCAGAGGTCTGCGGGTGGGGGAAGCAGATGATAAAGATGATGTAAAGAGAAGGAGGCAGTAAAGTTCACATGATCACAAGAAAGGCTTTTGACGTGCAGGCATGCAAATGTCAGCCATAATATCAATCATCCAACCATCATATCAATTTCTGTGATATCTGTGAAGCCAGTGTGTCACGTTGTTGTGACATTTCAGCATCTGTACTGCACAACAAAATTCCATAGATGTTTACCCATCGACAGATAGCAGTGATATTTGTCATGTTACTTGTTGGCCAACGTCCTCCAGCTGCTACGCTCTGCCACGTGCGTGTCCCTACATATTTGTGTGATACATATTTATGGTCTTTTTTTTTTTTTTTGCAGTCGGTTCCAAATCGCATGAGAAAACTGTCAAGCCAGTACCAGGGACGCCAAGCCCAAAAATAACTGGTGAGTTTTTGAATTGCCCAAGCTGTTAGCTGTAGAAACCGTGCCCCGGCATCTGTCAGTTCCACTGCACAAATATCAATAGGATTTTTTTTTTTTTTTTTTTTTTGGATGGCATTAATTGTGTATCTCGTTACTTGTACTGTGTACAGGGACAGAAGTGCAGCTCTGCTCTCTTCACTCAGTCTATTCTCTCTTCTACAGTGGTTAAATCCGTCTTCATTAAAGTTATAGTCATGTTAAACCTTACTGTATCGAGACGCTGCCATAAATTTATCATTTCTTAACTACTCTGCCGGATAATGCAAGCAATTAATTAGAATTCACCGGCACAGGCTCCAGTGTGTGTTTGCGTCACAGCTGTAATTTGTTTTGTTACCTGCCCTTTGTCTGAATAGTGAAGAGAATAATTGCTTTAAAGGAAAGTTAAATGTCTTTAGAAAATATGACCTGTAATGTAATAGGTGTGAAATACCTGCAGAGTAATTACTCTATAGGACCATTAAAAAACAAAGGTAATTTTGTAGGCATGGGGTCTGTAGTAATTATGCTAATATAATTAAAGAACCTAATATTAACATTAGCATAAAATATACAACAGAAAAATAGCGTTTATATTGTATGCGTGACAAGCTAATGATCTTTGTATTAGCCCAAGATGTAGTTAATACTAATATGTGTGATGACTGTACGCCTAATATTAGCATTATAATTATGGGCATATTAGCATGCTAACAAAGCACTGTGCTCACTTAATAGCATGCTAACAAAGCACTGTGCTCACAGTGTCATACTATACAAGGTTACGCAGCTAATGATCATCACCCTGTCCCCACGCACAGAAAAATATATTCACAGAAAAAGCTTGTTAGCATTTTCCTCCACAATGAAAAATAAAGATTACTGTTAGTTTTATGTAACCTTTCAAACCATCAAGACACGTACAGGTTTTAATGACTTGGTCATTTTGACTCGTCAAAACCACTCAACCCACTGGTGTCTGTGTTCTGCCGCTGCGTTTAATGAGTTTTCTTGTGTTTCTCTCCCCTCCAGTTCCTGACAATGTCTTTGCCCCTGATTTCATCTGGAAGGGTTCCTATCATTACAAAGGCCAGAAACAGCCGATGACATTGACGGTCACAAGCTTTAATGTTACAACGGGAAAAATCAATGTAACTTTAAGCGACAGTAGCGTGGAGTTTCAGCTCTCTGGTGAGACATCTATTAATCATCTGTCTTTTTACTTCCTTCTCCTCTCCTCTTCACACAAGCTTCACTGTGTCACTGCCATTTATTTATAAGGTGGCAATCATGCATGAGAGTGGATTTGAACTATTCCTATTAGAAATTGTTGTAATCGTCTTCCCGGAAAAGGTTCCCCGTCCTAATGTCCACTCATCAGTCAACAATCGCCCCCTCGTTGCAACAATTCTCTCTTTTCGTCCTCTTTTTTTCCTTTGCTTCATTTCTCTTCTCACTTCTTGTCGTCCACCTTGTAGGAGTGTACAAGCGCCAAGAGGCACAGTTAACACTCCTGCTGTACCATATGAGAGCACTAGCCCACAGCTCCCTGAGCAGGATCACAGCTGAGACCTGGACAATGGATGGATTTGTGAGTATATGTAGGAACTGAGAGCAGACGGTGAACAATCACTAAAAAAAAAAAAAAAAAAAAAAGAGTTGTAAATGTCCTTGCTGCTCTTGTTTTAGATAAGATTTTTATAGCCAAGTCCAACAGAGAAGGAGGGACACGACAAGAGCTAAAAATAACTCTCCTTTCTCCTGCTCATTATTCCAGAGTGTCAATAAGAAGAAGAATCATTTTGATTCCCTTGTTTTTTTTAACATATGTTGATAATGGTGGTAGATCAAAACACCAGGCGCTCTATTTGAACACTTTCAGTTTACACACAGTGACATCCTGTTCAGACACACATCCCTGATCTGAGAGAAATCTGGTATCAGGACATTTTTTTGTCACTGAAACCAACGTTGTTTTCATTTTTCTCTCACATCCCCTAATAACAGCCTGTGACAGGTAACTGAGCGCCGCTGAGCTATTGATAGCATACGGCTTCCTGTGTTCGCTGTTTAAACCTATTATTATTGAATGTAGCCTGACAGGCTGTGTGGACTGTCATACTAAACATCAACGGGGGGAAAGAGATGCATTATTTTCGTTTGCATTTGGAGCAAAACGTGGGGTTTCCTGACGTGGTGTTGTTGTTGTTTTTCTGATTGTTTGTTGTCGTTTTTGCCAGGTCTCAGCTGAGCCTGAAGGTGGCAGCTATGTATTCCAAGGATTTATACAGGGTAAAGACTACGGACAGTTTGGACTACAGAGACTTGGTACGTGTCTTCACTTTCACTATTACAACCAGTTCCATTGTCATACGTCGTCTTTAGGCCTTCATACCAAAGGAATTAACCCTCAGACTGGGTTTTTTTGTTTTGTTTTTTGTTAGTTTCATGCTTGTTGGTCCCAAGGTAATAAATAATAGTTACAAGTTAATGATTTAATACAAGTCACTGATTTGATTGTCATGTGGAGTGCTAGGAGGGAACACAACAAAGGCAGGCAAATTTTTTTAAATCATTTTTTCAAAATTGGATTTGTAAGGCAGGCAAATTTTCAATCATTTTTTCAAAATTGGATTTGTAATTTTATTTTCTTTATTCTATGAGAATGACAGTTTTGGGTTGAAGCAACAGCTGTGAATGTGTTGATGGTTCAAAAACAAACCTAAAATAAGGATGCTTAAAAAAAGTGTATGAATCACTGCCTCACACTAAGACGATCATTGGTTTGATACCTGCAGTAATGGTCCGTGTACTGTACTCTGGTTTTCCATGCAAAGCCAAAAACATTCAGATCAGGTTATTTTGAAACACAAGTCGAGCAGAGGTTGTTTGAATGTGGGTGTAAATCATTATCTGTCTCAATATTTGGTCCTGAAATGGACTAAAAAACAATCAAACGCAACGGTTTGTTGGCTCGGACTCTTGGACTTTTCTAATTTCTAATTTATCAAAATCACATCGCCTGGTAAACAATTCCGCCCTCGCCCGGTGATTCATGACTACTTACAGCTTTTCCACAACCCTAAAAAAAGTGGTAGAAGATGTTTGGGTTTTTTTTCCAATTCATCATCTACCACTATATCATTATAAAGATCAGGAGAGTTTTTATTTCCAATCAGTTCCATATCAACAACGATCGCGATCATTATTTCAGTTTTCATCATTTTCACTGAACCATCGTCATCATCATCATCATCATCATCATCATCATCATCATCATCATCATCATCATCATCATCATCATCATCATCGTCATCGTCTTTGTCATCAATATAATGGCCACTGTCATCATTGTCATCATATTATCACCGGTAAGTGCTCATATTTTTATTTTCCCAGTTTTCTCTTTCACCGTAAACGTTCGTTGATACTTAAGATATAAGATTTATTTTTTTGTAAAAACATTTAAGATGTTTTTCTTTCTCCCCTGCATTATATTTTATTGTAATAACTAAGGTTTTAACTAATCTAATCGCTAACCAACCATACACACTACTAACTGGTTAACCATCCACTAGTCAACAGCTTTGCACCAAGAAAAAGAAAATGAAAGCAGAGGGCGTCCTAACTTCATATATAAACCACGATTTAGTGCCATAAAAATGAGCTGAAGTTACTGTTGAGTGATGTTTTATGGTTTTCTTGTCAGCTAATGTTTGCATACTTTACCTTTTCATACACTGTATTCTGAGTCGACCGTATGATTTACCTGTGTGTAATTGGTTTTCCAGGTTTGAGCGTTAGGGAAAATGTTACCCTCCCCGACCCTGAACCTAACGGCTCCACCAACAGCAGTTCTGTTGCTGTTGCTATCCTCGTGCCTTTCTTTGCCCTCATCTTTGCAGGCCTGGGTTTTTATCTCTACAGACAGAGGTATGTGTTGTGTCCCGGTGTGAGACTAAGACACACACACACACACACGGGTTGCTCTCTGCAGGTTCGGATCTCTCATACGAAAAAAGAAAGCGGCATAATTTCATGAATTCCCTGCATGAGATACAGATCAAGATGAAGTAGATAGTACAGAGTGCCCCACTTCTACAGCCGGGCTGCTCTGCCTTCAGTGCCTGGAACAGCTTACATGTGCGAAACTTCAAAGCATGATGCAACATGAGTCAACACATTATCATCCAGTGCACATTACACAGCGGTATCGTTGACACATCATGACTGGAGCCGCTGATATAATACGGTGAGCTCTGCATTTCCACATACAAGCGTACGGTGGAGAATAAATGTGCGTACAGACGGATTAATTCTGTCTTGATTTAGATGGATTATCTCTCACAGCAGTTCATCCATTTAGAGACTGTGTCGCATGCAAATTTTGCACTCATTATGAGCGTTACCACTGGAACAGGCAGAGGGATTTTGGGACTTTTTTTTTTACAGTTATTATCATTCAGCCTCGTTTACCTACTGCAGCTGCCCGCGTCAACCAAATGAAAACATTGATTGGATGGTAATCGGGACACTTTCTTTCTGCTAATCTGCAACCTGCCCTTTCTCCTGCAGGAAAACAGATAAAGCCCAGTACACGGGATGTTCGGTCCACGAGAACAACAACGGTCAGGCCACATTTGAGAACCCCATGTACAATACGAACACGAAAGCTGCTGAGGGGAAAGTCGTCCGCTTCGACCCTAATCTCAACACCATCTGCACCATGGTTTGATGTCTACAGAGTGGATAGTTATATATTTCAATATAGGAATCAATATATATTATGACATATTTATATTTTGCCAATATCTGATAACGTACAGAGAGAACACTGAAATGGATGGAAAAAAAAACAAGAAGCACATCTGTGGCAACTCCTACAGTTGCGACCAATCATGAACAGAGGGGCGATGTTGACCCGGAGGAGGAGGGGGTTCCACACCTCTCCACAGCTTCTCCTCGTTGGGTGAAGAGAAGGAGATTCTTTACACTCTGTGAGTGTTGGCTTCATGAATTAAAAAGAGCCTCTGGCATAGAGATAAATGGAGTATTTTATGCTCTGTTGTATAAATAGAGAGGGATTACTTCACAATGCCAAATGAAAAATTTAGACTTCTCCTTTCTTTTGTTTCCCCCTCCAGAAAATCACTTCGATCTTTGCTGGTTTTTTTGGTTTGGTGTTGTGTTTTGTTTATTTATTTTTTGTCTTAATCTCACTTCCATTCTAATGAGTGTTTCTGTGTTTTCTCTCATGGAGGTGAGGAGACGCTCAACTGTGAGTTGATCAATGTGATTCTCCGTCAGTCTGTTTTTCGAGCAGACGGTTTTGCTACAAAAAAAAACAAAAACATAAAAAACATACAAGATATTGTTTCTTTGATGAGTCTCGGTGCAGTTTCCCTTTCAAGGTTACTTGGTCAATTATACCTGTTAATTGGATGTTACATTCTGCTGATGAAATGTGCGGCCGGGGATATTGTTGCTCAAACTAAATTCTAAAGGCTCCGGCTTTAATTGTTCCGGTGCAGGATCTCAGACGACGACAGTGTTTTATTCTGAAGCGCTACAGTCAACATGAGACTTAATTATAAGCCTCTGTGCAGCGACGTCTCTTTTAAATTACAGACTAGCCTGTGAGTGGAGTCAAGGCAAAACTTTACTATCCAGCATGTTGTGGGCTTCATCTACTTAAAGAAAAAGTTGTACAAATTGGTTTCACTTTAGATGTTTTCATTTTTATTTCAGTCTGTGTTCCAAAGCAACTGAGGGCAGTGTAAGGAGAGTAAACCCTGCCTCCAGGCTGTGGGTGTCCAGCACCGTAGGAGCTTCACTTTTATTGACAGACAAGGTTGAGATTAGAACCAGCGCACAGTAACTACAGTACAGCTGGCCAGGTTCCCTCCCAGGTTTATTTGAGCCTGGATGTTGGACTTACTTTAGAGTAACTCCAGGATTGAACATCCTCTGCATCATCTCCAGTTCTTCTAAACTGAGCAGTATATTTATTTTTGGGAAACTGAGTCTTTTGTTGAAATAAAAAACTAATCCATATCCTCCTACTCTGAGACACTTGACAACTGCACACCTTGGCCTGTTTTGTTGACACTGACTGAGATAAGAATGTTTTGTTTTTTTCAGTGTCTTACTGAAAACGTCAGCTTCTGCCAACAAATGTACAGAACACGTGGAGAGGAGTTTGCACACTTACACATGAGCCACAGTCATGTTATATACATCCATCCTTATGATCGAGACAAAAAAAAAAGTTTTCTGTTCATCGCATTTGTACATCATTGCAGTGCCTTGGATACTGTAGGGGCATATGTTGGAGGAGGACATCTACATCAACTGCATCAATGGTACCTGGACACCAGTGTGAGTCATTTGCACAGTTTGGAAGTTTGGTGGTTCAATATCAGAGGAAGGGTGTGTGTTTAAAAAAGAAAGAAAGAAAGAAAGAAAGAAAGAAAGAAGCAGCTCATAGTTTCATATCTGTGCATGTAAGTAAACAGCTGCTATACTTCTTTGTACCACTAGGTGGATTCCCGTTATTGCCGTTACATTTTGTACATTTATACAGTTTTGATACTTGATGGCATTCCTTGGTAAGATGTCTTGTGTTATCAATATGTAATATATTTTGCAAGTTCACATTTCTTTTTTGGGGAGAAAAGAAACGCATCTGCTGAAAAAAAGAAACGAAACAAAAATAAACCAACAAAATGATGTGGAAAATCAGTCTCATGTCCCACTTTCAGAGTAGATTAGAATGCTTTCAAATGTACCACTTAATTATATCCCATTCAGGGTCCTCTGTATATGAATATGTACATACGTCAGAACTTTTGTAAAGAGATATATTTTTTATGCAAATGAGGCATTTGTAAGTTATTGAAATATGTTGTGTAAAATCCCACATGTAAATGTCATGTAAGATCAGAAATGTTTTGTATTTTCTTTCTTTATCAGCAATGTATAAATCCTTAATTTATATATAAAAATATGAAACCATGAACGTGTACTGTATGTCTTATTTTATTCTTTTTTTTTTAGTATTATAAAGTTCTTCTGCCGTGGTGTGTTTTGAAAAGGGCTTCTAGTTTGGTTTCGGGTTTTTGTTTTTTTTGTTTGTTTGTTTTTTTGCTTCGTCCAAAAGGGTTTTCAGGTTTTCACATTTACCCTGTGAGCCGTAGGTTTTCCCACTCCCGGTTTAGAGTCTAAAAACAGGCCAATGTTTTTGTCGTGATGGTGAAACTGAAGCACCTGTGGAACTGAACCATTTTTCCTCAATTTTGACATGAGCCTGTGATTTTCTCGAGGTGAGATTAATAGAATGAATGAATGAGTGAATGATGAAATCTTTGAAATTTAAAAAGAGGGAAGAGAGTTGAATGGTGCAATATCCATTACGAACTGTTTCAATCGTTTTCAAGGAGGCAATATGGTGTCAGTGTTTGAATTATTCAGACACTACAGTATGGAGGAGCAGTGAAAGAAGTGAAATGAGCTGCGAGCTGAGTCTCTTTAGCATTCTCTTCATATCTGATTTCTTTTTCTTACTGATAATGATGAGGAAAAATGTTTTAATTAAGTAAAAGGCCTTTTTATATTTTCCTTTATATGTACTCTATTCAAAAGGTTTGATTGTGTAACAAGACACAAATTCCTGGAAAGTAGATGAGATGAGATGAGATTGCACTTTATTTTTTCTCTGAAAGTCACAATAACAGTGAGCACAAGGCACAACAAAACTGCAGCAACAGGAACAGGACAGTTATTTCACAATGAACTGAAACCACAGTAAAGTGATGTAAGTAATGTTATGGTTTATTTATTTATTTTTGGCTTGTTGTTGAAGTGTGTGAAAAACCAGAGCACACCCATACGTGCAACGGTTCTAACTGCAAAATGGAGAATCAAACTAGCAACAGGTGAGCTTTGACCTCTAATACAAAAATAAATCAATGTACAAATAATAAAATGATTCTTTAGTATTTAAACGATCGTAGATGTGTCCACAGAGCCTGGACCGAGGTGTCAATTTGTTGCAGCATCGCACAGAAATAAAGGCTGTGGGGATATAGACCAAAAAGAATTACATCCAAAAACACAACCCAAAGGAAGATGGTCAGACGAAACAAGAACAGAATTCGTCGACCATGGACATGTTTGTTTACGGAGGAGGAATGAAGCAGCGTACCATAATTCTAATAATCACACGTGGCATCGTGGCAGCGTACCATAATTCTAATAATCACATCACTGCGGAATGAAATCATGTGTGAAATGATGTAACAGCGATCACTTCACACTGGGTACAAAGACCTGTGAGTTGTAAACATTCAGAGATCGTACTGTGATGTCAGACTCAGGTTAAATGTATGCTTTAAAGTCTAAGCCTGGGATTTGTGCACGGATTACACACGTGTCAGGAGGATTTGCCATTGTTTCCTCACAGCATGTACCAGCAGATTTTACACACGCTGATGGTGTGAGTTTAGCTGCTACATACAGTAGGCTCATGGCTTTGTTTGTTGAATGTGGCTGTAATAGGCTCATTGCAGAGCTAACAGTAACATTCTGTCAACACTGACTTGACCTCTAGTTTGCCTTCGGAGCAGACTGGCTTCATTAGAGCTCTTGTTCCAGTGTGGGAGATTCCCCTGAGGACGCTCTCTGGTGTTTGGGCGCCTGACTCCTGCAGCAGCGTGTCTCTTGTCGGTCTAACAAATGCTCTGTTTAGCTCTGGTGACTGAGCAGGTTAGCGCAGTAAGCTGATTTCCCTGCTAAGATCACAGAGACATTTGTGGTCTGGTGGTGTGGGCATGTTCCTGCTGGAGAAAATCAATTTGTAGAGGTCCATGTGTGGGTACAGTGAATGGATGTTCCTGGTTTTCCTCTGGTCTTTAGATACCCCGTGGCATTCTTCCACTTTCATCAAGAGACTGGATGTGTAGCGTGAAATCGCAACCCACAACAGCAGCATCCAGCGATATTGACATACCGCCTGATGGATGGAGGAGTCCGCAGGTTTGGACATGACCAAAGTTTTCTTCACAGAACGAGAAACACGAGAACCATTATTGATCTGACTGAGCGCAGCTGAAAGAGTCTCAACTTTTTTCCCCTCCCCATACTGCATGCCATAATGAGGAGACAGGAGACAGGCGGCTCGGTTAAGTTGTTGGTTTTCCTCCATTGTGCGTGCCAAAGCGTAATGGCTGGTGTTTGTTTTCACGGCCGTTTTTGCTCTAATGTGCTGCATCGTCAGCTGACTAACTAGCTTTTTGTCCCGCATGTTTTTGTCTTTCGCTAATGAGCCATTCTCAACCACTCAGTGTCATTGGCCACGTCCTCAGGGAGGAGGGCTGTGGTTGATGCAGATGGGGAGCTGCTGAGAAAGGAAACCCCAGGGAAATGCTACTTAAAGGCATTTAAATCCAGGTAACAAAATCTCTAGTTTTAGTTTAATTGTCTAAAACTTGTCAAAAGAAGATGTTTTTTCTTTTACCAAAATTTTCAGAAAACCCTTCCAAATCAGTTAATGATCTGCTGGGTATTTTATCTTAGTTTTCAAATAACTATTTATGCACCACAAATATTCAGTTTCACTCCTAACAAAACTAAAAATTGAAAAGATACGTCTTGGAAAATCAGCAGGGATTTAATATTTTCTGGTTGCACGTAGGATGACCTCAAAGAGTTTTGATCCTCAATCGGATGAAAAATATAAAAAGGCTCCACAACCGTTTCAGCAAAATGCATCTTTTTAACTCATATTTAATGACTTTAGCTGTGGGAAATAGCCCAGAGAGGATCAAGGACTTGGGCTTGATTGGAGTTA